TTCTGTGCTGCTTCTCATTTTCTTCAATTCTTTGGATATAAAACTTATTCAAATGTCTTTAAAACGTTTTTTAGAACTTCCATAGGCTGTTTTAGAACACTCTAGGACATTCCTGTTTGAACTTTCATTTGGTTTCCGTAGACAGTAGTACTCCAGGCCTGAGCTGCGGCGTCGGTGGAGTTTATTGCCAACAGGCAGGGACCTGTGGCCTCTCTCAAAGCTCTTCGGGGGCCTGGCAAGAGGCTTGCCTTCCTTTACTAGAGCTCTCTGCATGCCCGTGGGCCTGCAGGTGGTGACTTTTGGGTGTCTCCTTAAAAGCAAATAGCACCTCACATCCAGTCTTTGATCACTGAAGGGCCACGAAATGCACTGAGCGCGTGCCGTGAGCCAGGCGCTGTGGTCAGCGGCATTTACCTGGACAGTTTCAATGGAATATGACTCCAGTTGCTACCTTCTCCCTCACCCCAAATCAGCAGGCAGGTTTGCAGTGCTGAATCAACAGGCCCACATTTAACAAGAAATGTGGAAATGAAAGAAGGACAAGATGAAGGGAGGAGAGCAGTGGAGCTTCTGGGGTGGGGAAACCCTCAGGGGTGGCCTGGAAGGATTCACTGTCCAATCCAGGCCGTGGGCAGCCCCTTTCCAGGAGAGGTGGGGCCCCGGAGTGGGAGGCTGGTGAGGCTGGTGGCGGGGACAGAGCAGAGGGGCTTGTAAGCATACCCCAGGCTGAGGGGGAGACAACAGTCTAGGAGAAGCAGCAGATGATCAGAGAGAAGTCTAAGGTGTGGGCCAAACCACAAAGAGCAGAAGAATCAGTTGCTTCCACAGTTGCCAAGCACCACAAGGCACACAGGAGAGGGTTCTCTGGCCGAGGAGACCATAGATGCAGCACAGCAGGCAGGGCTGGGTTTGACATGGCCCCGGAAGAGACACCTATAAAAGGAAGCATTAAAGAAAGTAAAATAAAAAAGCCTGGCTGGTGTTGCTCAGTGGTCGAGCATCGATCTATGAACCAGAAGGTTAAGGTTGGATTCCCAGGCAGAGCACATGCCCCAATTGTGGGCTCAGTCCCCAGTAGGGGGTGTGTAGGAGGCAGCAGTTCGATGATTCTCTCTCATCATATATACGGTATTTCTATTTCTCTCTCCCTTTCCCTTTCTTTCTGAAATCAATAAAAATATATTTTAGCCCTAACTAGTTTGGCTTACTGGATAGAGCGTCGGCCTGCGGACTCAAGGGTCCCAGGTTCGATTCCGGTCAAGGGCATATACCTTGGTTGCGGGGACATCCTCAGTAGGTGGTGTGCAGGAGGCAGTTGATCTATGTTTCTCTCTCTCCCTTCTTCTCTGTAAAAAAAAAAAAATACATATATATATATATATATATATATATATATATATATATATCATGTTTAAAAAGTGAGCAAGTGAAAAAATAAAAAAAAAGTGAGCAAGTGGGAAGAAGGTAGGCACAGGGAGGGCACGAGTGTGGGTCCAGGGACTCTGATGGACTTCTGTTCCCCAAAGCGAAGCAACAGGACTCAATGGGTCTGTGGCTGTAGCTGCAGTGCAACCAAAGACCTAGGTCCTCTGGGAGAGACCTCAGAGCATAGAGGAAGCAATCTACTGCACAGAGAAGCCAAACATGGGAAAAGTATGGCTAGATTACCTGGGGCTAGCTCAGAAAAGTGTTCTAGAAGGGTGGGGGCATCTGTAAAACTGGGGTGGTCTTGCCTTTAAGAACATGGCAACTCAGAAGAAGCAGCCCTCAGGCACACGTGTACATGTGTACATACACATGCACACACGAGTATGAACCCACATACACTCTATCCCATTAATAGCCTAATTTGTATCCCTTCTAATGAGAGCAGGAGCTCACCTATTTTTTAAAATATATTTTATTGATTTGTTTTTTTAGAGAGAGGGAGAGGGATAGAGAGTTAGAAACATTGATGAGAAACATCAATCAGCTGCCTCCAGCACACCCCCTACTGGGGATTTTGCCCGCAACCAAGGTATATGCCCTTGACCAGAATCGAACCTGGGACCCTTGAGTCTGCAGGCTGAAGCTCTATCCACTGAGCCAAACTGGCTAGGGCAGGAGCTCCACATATCTTTAATGTTTCTGTAAATGCCACAGCAGCCAGGACACTGCACCATGCCCAGTGTCCCCTGTGAATGTCCCATAATTGATGTTGGCCCTCTCTAATGTGGGCAAATAAAAAACAGGCCAGTGGCCAGTGAGGGGCACATGTGCCGTGTGATGGGGCTGGTTCTAATTTCTCTGACTACTGTGGTTTCAAGTCATTGGGTGGTAACTAGGCAGCTTTCCTGGTATCTTGTCCCTACACTTCCCCTCAAACTCCAGTTGACCTGATAAACACCTAACCTGACGTGCACTGGCACTCTACTCTGAAGAAGCAGATCTGTATTTCCGTTTGGCACCTAACACACTTCTATCGGCATGTGGCAGACACAGAGCCAACCCAACTTGTCCCAGGAGTTGACATTTCCTCAAAAACATGCTGTCTTCTTGAATCCCTTTGTCATCAGTTTATTGCCCAAACTACACATAGACATGGGTATTAGCTTTGTATCCTGCATTCTGGCTCTCTCCCGCCTGAGCAAGTCTACCTCCTGGGTATTTGTGATCTCTCACGCACACACCGGAACCATAACCAGATCCTGGTTCTCTCCTGGCCTCCTACCTTCATCCCTACTCCCCACATTCCTGCCACGGATGTCTTCTAAAGTGCAAGTGTGAGTATGTCACTCCCAGTTTAATATCCAAAAAGAGGTGCAATTCCTTGGGAAGGGCTCCTAGAATCTTAATCGGGAGCCTTTGTTCCTTCATTCTAATCTCCAGCCGTAACAAATACTCCTGTGCACACAGTGCTCTCTCTCTCACGCTTCCAAGCCAGACCACCCCCACCCCAGGCCTTGGCGACGTGCCACATGTCATGTTCTGATTGCGCCCTGTTCACCACAGGACCCCTTGCACCGTGCTTTGCATATTGTGGTCATCCAAAAATGTCTGATGGAGGAAGGAAGGAAGGAAGGAAGGAAGGAAGGAAGGAAGGAAGGAAGGGAGGGAGGGAGGGAGGGAGGGAGGGAGGGAGGGAGGGAGGGAGGGAGGGAGGGAGGGAGGGAGGGAGGGAGGGAGGAAGGAAGGAAGGAAGGAAGGAAAAAAGGATTGCATCAGGGGCTGTGATGCAAAAGTACTGGAGGCATGCACTTGTCTCTGAGAAGCTCCCAGCCCCCTTAGAGCTTTGTGATCATAGCTTTAAAAATATGGATTTATACTGGGTTTATTATATCGATAATATGCATTTTATTTTCAAATGAAATATTATTTAATTAGCGAGGGCATTGCTCTGCACATCCTATTTTTTTTTTTTAACTACTTGTTTTGGAGAAACTATTAACCCACTTAAAAGACTAATCAAAACCCATTTCTTCTGCACACGTAGCTGTTCGAGGTTATGCAGTTCATCGGCAATTATTTCTCTGAAAGCCCACATTTAGACGCCTGCAGACAGAACTTACTTTCAGGACCTCCTACACACTCACTTTAGGTCCCCACCCCCATCCCCTCACCCCCGCCCCATTTCTGTCTTTTAGCTTTCCCATTTGCAGAGCAGCACAGAATTAACCCAAAATGCTTTGCCTGGCAACTTTAAATGAAACACGAAAACCGGGACCAAAAAGAGAACGCAATGAATTCCAAGTGCCCAGTTAAGATCCGGCTCCTTAATCCTCGCGGGTGATACTCCAATGCTTCTTAGAAGTGAAATCCGTTCAACTGCTGGATCTTACTGCCTCCCGTGTTTCTTCAGTCGCCGCGATGCCTGCTTCAGGTCTCTACTAAGTTTTGGTGCTGGACAGAATGTGCAAGTAAATAATATGCACAGCACAGTAAACTCATCTCCCCAGCGTCACTAGCGAGGTAAGAGAATCTTGTGACCAGCGGTCATAACATAGAGGTTTCCTCGCATGGCTTATGATGAAGCCAATTAAAGAATGGAAGTACACTGGCGCTGCTGGAGCCTAGGGATGGGCATCGGTGGGCGTGGCCTATGCTGGACGAGGCGGGACCTGGACTGGTAGGCGTGGTGACGCTGGAGAAGGCGGGGCCTGGACTGGTAGGCGTGGCTAACTATGGAGGAGGCGGGGCCTGGGCTGGTGGGCGTGGCTGACGCTGGAGGAGGCGGGACTGATGCGGGTGGGCGGGACCTAACGGGGACACCCTCCCCCCCTCCCAGCGAAACTGCCGCTCCGGCTATTTCCGGGCCTCCCCGCCTCCCCGTGCACTCGCGAGGCGCCTTCGAGTGCGACTAGCACCACAGCGAGGGGGCGAGGCCAGGAGGCCGCCGTCCGCGCCGGTCCGCGCCCCGCCGGCTGTCCTAGTCGTTGCCGTCCGTTTCAAACGAGCTCTTCCCACGCCTTAGTTGCCCACCTGCTCTCCCCATCCCGCACCTCCTCCGTGAGCACCACTCTGTCCCTGCAGCCGCAGCCCCACGCCCCCTCCTCTGAGTCGGCTCGGCTCTCCGGGCCGGAACCTCGCTGTTGCCGCCGCCACCCGGCCTGAGACTGACGTGAGACGAGGCCCGCCTCAGGGAGCAGGGATGCGGGAGGACGTTAGGGCACGTGAGGGCGCCTCGGCCAATGGTAGGCCGCCTGGCGGGCGGGGGCGGGGCCCGGGCGGGGGCGGGGCTGGCGGCCCGGGCTCCGCGGGCCGGGAAGGGGAGGGGCCGCCCGGGGGCGGGAGGGGAGGGGTGGCCCGGGGAAGGGGCGGAGAGACGCCGCCGCCGCCGCCGCCGGCGCCGCGGCTGCCGCAGCCTCTGGGAGCCTGGAAAAGGGGAAGCGGGAGCGAGCGAACGGCTCAGTCCCCGGGGCGGCGGCGGCGGCGGCGGCCGGGAGGGCGCGACGGCCGGGGCGGGGGCGCTGCTGCTGCTGAGGGGCCGGCAGCAGGAGCGGCGGCGGCGGCCCGCACCAGCCATGCCGAATAAAAACAAGAAGGAGAAAGTGAGTCGGGGCCCGGGTCACGGGACGGGCCGGCGGGAAGGGGCAGGGGCCGCGTGGGAGGGCGGCAGGGAACTGCCCGGGAGCGGGGCGCGGCGGGGCTCGGGGTCCTGCGCCTTGACCCCCCGGAGCCCTAAAGGGGTTTGGGGGCGCCGCTCCGCCCGCTCCCGGGGTGGGGGCGGGGGCGGGGCGCGCCGGGCGGCGGTGCCCGGGCCGGGGCGGGGGTCCTGGCGGCCGGCGTGGGCACCCGGGGCGGGCGCGCGGGGGGCGTGAGGGGGCAGGTGCGGCCGCGGAGGTGGTTGACCCAGCGGCGCAGACCGGGACTGGGGCTCCGGGACTGGGGCTCCGGGGTGGGGGCTGCAGGGACCGCGGGGAAGGGGGGCTAATGGACCCCGCTGAGCGCTCGGGAAGAGCGGTCTGCTCCCCGGAGGGCCGCCCTGGACTCTGGAATACCGTCCTTATCGGGGTGGCGGCGGCGGGGATGGCTGTGAGCGTGGGTGCTGCGTGTGCATGGGGGGGGGGGGGTGGCGGGGTGCTGCTGCTTCAGGTGGAGAAGCTCTAGCGTTCCGGTGTCACCCCAGAAATCCCCGCTCACGGGGCTTTATCTGGGAGGGAAGAAAGGGATCTTTCTGAACGCCCACAGCGCTGTATGTATGTGGGTTTATCTGTTTCTGCTTAAAGTTTTCAACCCAAGTACTTGACACCGGGGGAATCTGAAAATGAGTGTGTGTGTGTGTGTGTGTGTGTGTGTGTGTGTGTGTGTGTGTTGGGAGGGGGGGAAAGGAGGTGGCGTCGCAATACTGTATTTCTAATTAATCCATAGGATGGAGAATTTCTAGACGGTGTTGATTAAGCCCATTGTCGTGGTATGAATCCGTGGTTTAAACTGCAATGTTGATGTATCTGCTGTTTAGCAGTCTGAAACTTGGAGAAGCCTAATTAATTCTGCTTGATGTTTCCCCAGGAAGTACCCAAAGCAGGAAAGAGTGGACGAAGTTCAAAAGAAGCACAAGACACAGTAGAACCAGAGGTAACTATTCTCAGACACTCACTTTCTGCTTTTTCCTGAACAGCTCTGAGCTTAGGACAGAAAAACAGAGGCTGATGAAACTTAGGGTTTTGTCATGATTCCCTAACGTGAGATTTTTCCCCCAGTGTCTCTCATCACCCTCGTTTTGAGTTTCTTGGGTTTTTATTATTCTACTCTGGATCAATATGCACGTTCCTATGAGAGTTGATCCTATTGGTGCCGCTAATAATTTCACTTTTGTTCCCTTCACCTCAAACCTAGCAGCCATCCACCAGAGACTGGTGTCCTGGGCTCTCTCCAGCTGGAGTCCTGCATGTTCTTTTTAGCTCTCACCCTGCCCCTGCCTTTGGAGGTGCCAGGTCCCTCTCTCAGCAGCTCCTTCTCCTTCCACCACCTCGCTGTGCCGGCTGCTGCTGGCTTCGTGGGCCAGCTCTTTGATGTCTCATCCCCTTAGCCTCTTTCCCCAATAGTGTTGCTATATTTTGGTTTATCTGGTTTGGCTATATTTATATAGTCTTTTCTATCTTTCATGTTTTCTTTCTGTCTGTGTTGGCCAATTCTGACTTCTTTTGCTTCCTCACTTTGGGATCGTTGTGGAACGGCTGAAACGCCCAGTGGAGGTTGTGTCTACCCAGTGAAGTCAGTGCAGTTCCTGACACAGTTGTGCTTGGGGAGCATTTGCAGAGCCAGCCCCTGGCTTTGCCTTTTCTCCCGGGTGACCAGGCCAAGGGTCCAGGGAGCTGTTTGGAGTCAGGCAGAGCTAACAGGCCCTTTTGAATCATCGGGAGCAGAGTAGCTGCTTGATGCAGTGGCCTGGTTCTCCTCCAGAGCCGGAACCGGGAGGTTTCTGGTCTTATCACAGATGGCATTAATTTGCCAAAGGCAGACCCCTTCCTGTAAGCCAAATTAGAATGAGTTCAGTTCTGTGTGGCCGTTAATCGCAGTATCCTTTTTTTTGAGCCCCAGATTATCATGGATGTATTCTAATCATTCGGCAGGTGGTTTATTCCAGCACATTTCTTGCCTTTCCCAAATCAAAAAAGCAGAAATCCTAAAGATTCCTGAACTATCTGTAGTTAGAGGTTGTCTGGGTCAGTCTTTCCCTGCCCTTTCCTTACAGCAGACAATCAAGTTTTACTGTTCTTGCATTTGACTTGCTTACTTCCTCGTCACTCTTTTGACTCGATTGACTCAAATGGAATTTAGTGTCTCTGAGAGGGTTTTTTGTTTTCTTTTTATTAGTTGGTGGATCTGTCATTAAACCTGCTAAGACTACCCAGTGCTCCCCCAGCCTCTCTCGCTCACATACCTGCTCCTCTCCTGTTCTCATCACAAAGAAGTATCAGTGGGTATGGTTCTTTTCCTCCTGTTTTAGTGGGAAGACCTGGCTATAGGGATGGATAATATGAAGTTTGAGCCTGAAAATGCCATCAGTAACTGAAAGATAGCAAAGCCACTAATATGTAAAATGTTTTAAGGTGGATTGAGTTTCCAGAATGTCAGTTGAGGAAGATACTTGAGGTGTGGCCTGCATTGTCTGATGTGATGCCAGTTGTCTTTTTGTATTTTTTCTGTTGCTACTGTCTTGAGAAGCACAGCTACAGAGCTTGAAATACCCCCTAGAAAATACTGACCTGCCAGGTCCTTCACTACTTCCTCAAAAATACCAAAGGCAACCTGGCATAGTAAGCATGACCCTAGGCAGATGACTGCGTACATTATTTTGCAGGAATACAAATTGAGGCACTTAGGTTCATCTGAACTTTGAGTCGAACCTTACTTTTTTATTGTTGTTCTCTCCCCTTAGTCTTCATCTCGCTTCTTCACATCGAGTCCCACCCACTTAGCAAACATGATTGACTCACTCTTTTCCTCTCCTGCCTCATGGTATTACCCCTGAACTTGAATATTTTCACCTAACCATTCAAATCAAGTTTGCCATTCCCATGTTGCTTTTTAATATCACATCCTCTTCAGTCAGCCCTTTGCTCAGGTTACCCTGTGAGCGCACTTCTGTTGGGATGGTTCCCACGTTCGGGCTACAACCTGAAAGTGTGCAGAACGGGTATCCAGCCAGGTCAGGTTGGCCAGATTTGGGTATAACCCCCACAGAGAATGTGCCCCAGGACGTGGCCTGCAGTTGAGTTACTACATGGATCTGAGGGTGGGAAGGTTGACACTATAGTCCTGGCTAGTTATAATCTAGCCTCACAGGCTTACATTGCAGAACGCTTTTTGGTTCAAACAAGGAACAAGTGATGGCTGGGCTTTTAGTAAGGAAATGAATCCTGAGGTAAAGGATAGAGTGGTATAGGATGGGAAGCATTCAGCCTGGGGATTAGATGATAAAAACGCTGATCCCTGATGGTGATATTCAGTGACCTAACTGCTGTGACCCTGTTTTCCTTACCTCTAAAATGACCTGGTGGGTTTCAGATTTGGCCATTTTTTTACTCTATGGGACTATGTGCGACCCCTCTTGAAACGAGTTTTCCCTGTAATATGTGTGACAGGCTATAGCTTCAATGCAAACAAAATACCCACCATAACTACTGCTGCGCTGTTTTTGCCTGTTTCTCTTTCAAATAGAATGTTTACATTTGACTTGCTTGTCCAGCTGTGACATGTCCTGGGAATAAAAATTTCTGCCCAGGACCTATTGCTGGTTCATTTCATGGCACACTTTTAAGGAGTGAGGCCACTAATGGGCTCATGGACCTTGTGGACGCTGGAGGTTGACAGCGAAAGTCATCTTGGAACAATTGTTCTTGGTGTAACGCTCACACCTGTGGAAACATAACTGGGGACATCTTATGCACATTTAGAATCTTAATAAATTGCCCAGAGAGTCCTAAAGGCCATTTTGGAGGACTAGGCCATGCGATGGTGTTTTTTGTTCTTTAATTCATGTGCTGTGCCCAGAGTTACGATTTAAAGTGCTAATGCTTTGCCCAGCTGGCATGGCTAAGTGGTTGAGCATCATCCTATGAGCCAGGAGGTCACAGTTTGATTCCCAGTTGGGGCACATGCCTGGATTGTGGGCTCTATCTCCAGTGTGGGGCGTGCATGAGTCAGCCAATCAATTATTCTCTCTCATCATTGATGTTTCTGTTTCTTTCTCCCTCTCCCATCCTCTCTGAAATGAATAAAAAAATATAAATAAGTCCCGGTGGCGTGGCTCAGTGGTTGAACATTGACCCTTGAAACAGGAGGTCACGGTTCAATTCCCCGTCAGGGCACATGCCTGGGTTTTAGGCCTGATTCTCAGTAGGGGGTGTGCAGGAGGCAGCTGATTCTCATTGATGTTTCTATCTCTCTCTCCCTTGCCCTCTCTGAAATCAATAAAAATATATTTTAAAATATATATATAAAGTGTTAATGCTTTTGTAAAGTGATTTGCTTTAAGTACATTTAAGGTTGTAGAAGTATTTGTTCCCTAGGTGTGTATTTTACACATCCTGCCCCAGCTTAGTTTTTGTTTGAAAGTCTCTACAGCAACTCTTACATAATATCTGTTGCTGGAAAGAAAGCTGAACAATTCATTCTCCAACTTGATAGCTCATTTTGACACTTACCTTTGGTGATAATTTCTTCCTCCTTATACCCTGTCTCTTCACATTCCCCTGCCTCCACCCCCTGGTATCCCAGAGACAGGGAGCCAGGCTAGCGTAGGGCCCATAGGTATAGGGTGTGGAGCCATGTTTTAGAAAATCACACTGAAATTTTGAAAATATGTATTAACTCGTGTAATAATAATACCTGTTACATGTTAACATAAATAACATTTTTATGGAAAATACCTTTCCAAGAAAAATTTTTTGGCTTTCTAGTCACTTGTCTCTGTAGCAGGAATTTTAACCAGAGTTGGAAGAGGACAAGGAAAGTCGTTGTGTTGGCAGGTGTATTTTCTGGGGAGGCGGCTGTGACTGTCACCCTGGGAGAGTAGAGTCCCTGATTCCCGGCCCCAGATTACCAAAAGCCACTCTCTGTGGGCTCAGTTCCCAACTCGGGGTTCTGTTGGGGGCCTCCCACAGCACATTTTCAATCGTTCTCTTCCCAACTTTCCCCCATACAACCCTAGATTGAACTGTGGAGAAACTCAGAGATGACCCAAGGAATAGTACTTTATATATATTTTTAAATTCATGTGTAATTAATTCCCCGTTTTTAAGGGGCTTACTCCCCCTGGCAGCTCCGTTGAGGAAAGATGAGGCTCTGCAGAGAAGACGGACAGGGATGGGAAGGTGTTTGATTTGAGTTTGGCGGGGGTGGGGGGAGCCAGGAGCTTACCTGCCTTGGGGCAGTGGGCAAGCAGTTCTTCCCCAGCTGTCCCCTTCCTAGTGCCCACTCCTTCTTGCTTCCAAGCTGGACGCTTGGTAGACGCCTCCCGCAAGATCTGCTGCTCTGAGGCAGGCATCCCCCCCTTGGTAACCTGTGTGGGGCCGGTGCTTCCTGGTAGTCCTGTGCTCTGTGGGAAGTTCACCGGTGTCCTTGTCCTTCCCCAGAAGATGCCAATAGCCCCCAGCCTACTCCAGTAGGACAACCACAAGTGACTTCTCCTGGAGGGCAAAATGGCCCGCTGTAGAGATCAGGGCTCTGGAAAGACCCCTCCACATAGTGCATTAGCTTATAAGCCATGCCCAGCACATACATGTCTAAGAATAATGTCTCCTTCCTCAGGCAGAAAGGGTGTCAGCACCTTTACAGTCTTAAAAGTTAGCAAGGACCCAAAGAGCTTTATTTAGTTGGTTATAGTGTCTGATAGATTTCATATTGAAATGAAAACATATTTTAAATATTCATTAATTCATCTGCTAATAATCACACACCCATTACATGTTATCATAAATCATATTTTTATGAGAAATAACTAAAATTCACTGAGAAAATGGCATTGCACTGTTTTTGCCAATCTCCTTAATGTCTGATTTAATAGGAGAAGCTGGCTCCTCCAGTCTGCTCCTGCATTCAGTCTGTTTTGGTCACTTGTCTTGTAGCCA